TTTTTTTTTTTTTTTTTTTTTTTTTTTTTTGTTGTTGTTTCGTGAGTATCACTCAGTATTTTTTCTTTCTTTTTTTTTTCTGATTTTTTGGTTTAGTCTTTTTTTATGCCTTTTTCAGTTACCAATTTAGCGTAATGGAGTTTTTTTTTGTTTTTGTTATGAGTGAGAGGTGCGAACAGAAAGAGGAGGTGAATTATTGTTAGAAGAAAAATCTCAGAGAGGAAAGGAGAGGCTAAAAATTCATACAGATTTATTTCATCAGTTTGTCAAAAGTTTTGCTATTTAAGCAGAGAAGAAAAAAAAAAGACTAAAACAAAAACTTATAAGCACAAATATATATATTTTGTTACGATATTTGTAAAATTGTCAAACTGTCTTTCAAGTAACCATTTTTTTATTGTATTTTATTTTGTTCAACATTTATTTCTTCATTCTTCATTCATCTTCTGATTATTAATTACTATTATTACTACTATTATTACTGCTAATTAGGCCTGGTTTGCTGTTTCTTTTGCATCCAGTGATATATTTGATATTTGTCCTTACTTCTTCTGTTTCCTTCACCTACTATTTTCTTTTTTTTTTTTTTTGTCTTTCTTTCATAAACAATTGTTCTCTTCTGTTTGTTGGTTTTTTTTATTTGTCCTCTTGTTTTTTCTTCCTTCTCTTTCTTTTCAGAATATGCAATTCCGTGAACTTTAGCCTAATCAGTTGTTCTATGCAGAGGTGAACCGAAACTATGTAGATCAAATAGTTTTTGACCAAACAACAAAGAAGAACTTAAGTGTCATTGTTGTCTGTCTGAATAAAACAAAAAGGTTTTTGTAAGCATTTTGTTCTGATAATAGTTATAAAGCAAAAGAAAAAAGTGAAACCAACAGATTCCCGGTCAATTTCCTGGCTGAAGTTTGCGAAGTTTTTGTCGCTTGTTGCTACTGCTCATCCCCATATCAATTTCACTCAGATATATTTCTCTGTGTGATATGACGGCTTAACATGTCCAATACTTAACAATTCGAAAAAAAATAACCCAAATTTGTTTCAAATAGATGCAATTTTTACATTCATACTTTAAACATTTGTTTTTAAAAACATTTTTTCACGTCTATTTCCCATAACAAAAAATTATACTTTATAACAGTGCGACTCTTTTCTTGGAATTAAAAGGCGGCTTTTGTGAGGTTAAAGTGTTATTTCAAAACAGACACATGTTTTTTTCTTCCCACATAATCAGTTAATTAAGAAGAAAATGGTTGACAGTTGGAAATAAAAATGTTCTTCTTTCTTTCTTCCCTTTTTTGCTTCTTTTTTTTGGAACAGACTATCCAAATGTATTGGACAGTTCCAGGCTGGGGATGCCGTTTAATACAAACACTTATTTGTTGTTGATAATCTAAGTTTATTATTATTTATGAGCTATATTGGATGCCTAGATACACTTCTTGTCGGTTTATATCTCTGAAAAAAAAAATGCTTTATTTTGCCTTTAAACCTGACAAGAAATTGTTGTAATTTAAGTGTTAAAGTGTAATAAAAGTAAGTTAGATTCTTGTGTTATATAACACCGCTTCAATTCTTTGATTAAAAAAAAAGTTTAAAAAATATGATTATAATGTGGGTTGACCTGTGTTTAACTGAATAAACTTCAAAACGTCAAGGTATCTTAGGCGATAATTGGTTAGTTGTTCTAAGATATCCGACGAAACACATGAAACTATTGATGATTCATTTTACACTACTAAAATCAAATGCTTAAATGGAAGAATTCATTTACATCTATTGAAAGGTATTATGTGAAAGTTTTAAGTTGCTGTCTGCAAAAAAAGTCTTAATTTTGAAGCAAACAGGCAAGATTGACATGTAGAAATAAAAACAGGCAAACAGATAGTTATAACGGTAACCTAAGTGTGTGAACATCAAATAATGACCATTGTTTTCAGTATGATATTCTGTGTACAAAAGACAATATTTTAGCAAATCTATCAATCAGCGATAAAAACACATAAAAAAGTTGAACAAATTGTAATTTCTGCATAAATTTAAAACAATTCCAATAGTAAACAGCGTTACGCTGTTTTTTTTTTTACTTTATTATTTTCATTAAAATTTATGCAACTGTAAACTGCAACTGCATAATTACCGTTTCCATAAATAATCAATCACTGTAATATTAATAACTGTTGTATCTTAGAACATGTTAGCTAAAAAAAACTATCAAGATCTTTGTGGGCAATCTGTTGGTATGACAAGTGGTTGATCAATAATCAGTCTGCTGTACAAAAACTGCCAAGATTGTTTCAACAGCTCTGATAACTTGTAAATTGTACATCTTCATAGAACCATTCTCAAGTAATTTTTTCAAAAGATACCATTTAACAAAACAGTGATGATTTTTAACCACTTTACTCCCACAGACTTTCATTGAAACAGTAGTAAAAAGGAACAAGTTAAACCAGAGAAAATTTCAACATTTATGATACTTTTTACATTTATTCGAACGCAAAAAAATTAGACGAACTATCTTATGTAGAAAAAAATTAAAACAAAAAGAAATCATCAATAAAAAAGTGTACATTTGAATAAATTACAGTTAAGATGTTTTGTCAAGCGAAAGAAAGAAGAATCTACCGCTAAGCAAGAGCAACAAAATAAAGAAAGAACAAACCATGGATTTTGGAGGAAAAAAAGACGATTTTTTGTGTCACTGACTAAGACGAAAGATGGGGGCAACAAACAGAGTGGCAAAGGTTGCCAATTTCTGTCAAAAAAACAGAATGAAACAAACGTAAAGAAAGTCGTTAGGAGAGCAAAAGATGACCTAAAAATTATCACTCAGACAATCATGAGACATTTTATCAGCAACTGTTTTCTACAGAAGTATCCAGTTGTGATCAAAGCGACAGGTTGCAGCAATGCTCAAGAAACCCATTCGACGTTGATTAACAAAAAAAACCTAAACGAAAAACCCATCAGTAAACGCTGCTAAGGCGGGAGAGTCTGACCGACGATTCTAAGTTACTGCCGTAGAACAAAAAGAAAAAAAAACGAATTACGTTAGACAACAAAAAGAATTAATACGGAAACAAGATGAAGATAAATTAATGGGGTGTATGTGGTTTTGAAAATCGAGATTTCGGACACTTCCAATGACCGTCTCAGTCATTCAAATGCCATATCAATAGCAAAACGTCTTTGTGACAGATTTTCAATTATGTCGCATAACATTTGTCTCAAAGGTAACAACTGCAGTGCTACAGTCTATGGCTTTTGTATCACCTTTATTTTGCTCAGCTTTATTCACAGCGGTTTTACCAAAGACGCAAAACAGGTAAGTTATTAATTTAAAAAAAACCTCGGTTGATCAATTATACTTGTATGATCTAACAGTAATATTTTTTTTGTTTTGTTTTTGAATACTTTTTTTTTTTGCCACATGGCTGTGAAAATAAAATGTTGTAATCCATCATCTAATTTCCAAAAAAAAAAAAAAAAAAAAAGTTGCGAAATGCTTAAAGAACAAAGAATCTTTGAAAAACTAAACTATCAATTGTTAAATGGTAAATTTTCTATTTCACAAGAAAATAAAAAGACAGTTTAGGAGCTACAGGAAAACTTTGCTTTTGACTCCTCGCAACTAAACGATTTGAACAGCATATTACTTCGGTTGAAAGAAATTTCATACAGAGAAGTCTATGGTGATCGACAGTTTAGTCATGATGTATACTCCTCTCAAAAATTTCTTTTCTCAGTTTTCCCAGTTTCAAATCTTATTTCTCTATCTTCAGTGTACTTACATTTTTTCTTAAAGGCAGAATTTGAAGTCTACTCGTTAAATTTGGATTCTAGTGCATCTAAATTACTCCTTTTCTTAGAGCGCCGTCGAAAGTAAAAAAGATGTATCTATTAGCGATCAGCAGGCCAAAACCTCCAACAAACTTTTGCCGTATTTATTTGAAGGTAAACTTTTTGCTTTTTTGACCACTAACTGCAGTCGACTTATGCGTATCAAAAGATGAACAGGTGAAAACACTGTTTAAAAAAAGGAAGACTTGGACATGTGCACTGTTAATTAATCAATTTCGGGTGACATACTGTTGTCGACGAAGCAAGCAAATGCTATACTTGAATCAGCGATGGCAAAATCAAAAATTCGACGACCAAATGTACGACGAGACTACGTATATGAAGCAATCGAAAGACAACGACGGGCCTTCAGCACAGATTCTTATGCCAAATGGCCAAGATTCCCAATTAAATACTGTTTTGCTGAAAGCGTAGGTTAGACTTTTTTTGTAGTTATTGTCGACAAAAATTTTCAGTTCAGTTGCAGTCATACATCTTAAAAAATCTACCTTAATTTTTGCAGTCGATCAATTTCAGAATTCTACGTGATTAGCCAGATCATACAGGCATTAGATTTTTGGCAGGAACATACGTGTATAACATTTGTACATGACGATAATGCATCTGGAGATTTTATCCAGTTCTTCAGAGGAGAAGGGTACCCTTTTTTGACATATAACCACTGATTAGCTTTCTTTGTCTTTTAAAATTATTTTTACAACGATATTAGTCAATTCTGCCGCGTTTTACTTCTTGATGACTTCTAAAGATTGGGACCGGTATGCAACTAAAACCTATATAATTTTAGGTGTTACTCGGTAATAGGTCGTTTAGGCGGTATGCAGAGCATCTCCATTGGAAAAGGATGTGAACGAGTAATGTCCAGTGAAAATGAATTAATTTTTCGGCTTTCCTATGCCATCTTTTAACTTACTATTTTTCAACAGTAACATTCAAATTTTCAGCTCGGAACAATAGAGCATGAGGTCGGTCATGCACTAGGTCTTTGGCATCAACAATCTCGACCAGACGCGCTCGAGCACATTAGAATTATTGAGGACTACATTTTAAAAACCTATATTGGTGATTTCAAGCTTAGAGAACCAAGTGAAATTGAGACGTTTGGCATCCCATATGACCTGGGATCTGTTATGCACTATGGTTCCACTGCCTTCAGTTTTGACGAGAGAACAAAGACAGTAATTACAAAGTATTACTTATTAAAATTTAAACCATTAATTAGTGTAAAGGTCTACTAGTTTAACAAACAAATATGCTAGTTCTTATCGCAGAGTTGATTCCACTTGCTAGTAGCCCAAATTTTGCATCTTTTACATGGTAATACTTTCAAAATGATTCTTGCATAAAAAAAAGCACTTTAACCCTTCAAATCGTATTATAACTGGCAACAAGTTTGAAATATGGCTAAAATTACTAAAAAATTCCCATCTAAAAAATTCTTGGGAAAACGCTTTACCTAAAAAACAGTGTTTCTTTTAAGAGATCCTTACTATCAACAGACAATTGGACAACGTGAAAAGCCTTCATTTTACGATATCAAAGTAATTAACGAAGCCTACTGTAAAGGTATTATATGATATCATATGTACATATGTACAATATAATGAACTTTTCGATGCTCCTGTGAAAATTGAACCGATTTAGATACGTGTGAAAAGAAAAGTGAGTGCAAAAATGGAGGGTACCGAAATCCATCTAACTGTAATCTATGCTTGTGTCCTAGCGGCTTTGGAGGACCACTGTGCGAAAAAAATGAAACTCCGCTTGGTATGGTCAGTTTATAGTAGCAAGATCATGATTCAGCTCTATCGTAAAAACTAACTGCCCTGTGAGTACCTAGGTTTCTGTCGACCATAGATTTTATGGTGATTCCCGCTTTTTCTACTCTGCTGGTACAATTAAAATAAATTCTGTAACTAATTCTGAATAGTAACTGAAATTTAAGTAACAAATTTTGTAATCCCGGTACAAGCACAGGTTTTGTAACTAATACTATCAGAAAAAAAATTAAAGATTCAAGAGCAATTACTTGCAGCAACAGAATGTGGCGGAATGATCAAAGCAGATGACAAATGGCAAAACATAGAATCGCCAGGTTATCCAGATCCAGGTTATGATGTCGGTGAACGTTGCAGTTGGATAATAACTGTCGAGAAAGGTGATCACTGGTTTCCCAATAATGCCAAGCTTTGTAGAAAATTAAAGGACAATGCTTTACAGTAAACAGTATGTAGTATCTACTCATAGGAAAACGAGTTGAACTGGAGTTTGTTGACAACTTTTCAATGCTTTGTACCACAACTTGTGTCGATTACGTGGAACTTAAGATTGGTGCTGACTTGGCTAACACTGGTTACAGGTATTTTCTTAAAATCACTTACTAAAATACTTCTCTCTTTGTCTGATCAACAAAAAGAAGATTAAATAACGGTTTTTGATAAAGCATCATTTGAAAACCGTGGTAAACTAAGAGATCTGGAACTAGCAAACAAACATCTTCCTCTTTAAATTCTGGAAAAGAACGCGCCCTAAAGGTATAAACATTTAAACACACCATTGAAAACATTTATAAAAATTGTAGGTTCTGCTGCAACAAAGCTCCAGGTCCTTTAATTTCTTATGGTCAAAAAGTGCTTATTATATTTGCTTCGATCCTTTCTGACGATTTAGGATTTCGAATACGCTTCCGATCAAGTAAACAACAGTTTTTTTCAAACCACCTAACTTTCAAGTAAAGGTTAAGCCACAGGTTGTCTGACCTTCGCAAAGTCAAAATGTACATAAATGTTATTGAAATGCATAAGAAAATTTAGATTTAAATAATCTTCCATATTCCTACTAAAAGCCTTTGCAGCAACAAAACAGCCTCGTCTAACTGAAAGTATAAAACCAGTCACCACAACGGGTATAATTCTATCTTACTGTGTCTAAACAATACCAATATGATAACCATTAGTGAAAAATAATAACAAAAACATTAAACTTTATCGTCGTATCAGATATTAAAAATTGTGTTCAGAAGCTCCGACAACAATATCAGGAGACAACATCTGGGGAAGCTGGGGACCATGGTCGTCCTGCACAAGATCATGTGGCGCCTGTGGCATCCAAACCCGGACCCGACTCTGTAATACAGCACACTGCGTGTAAGTCTCCAAGAATTTAGAACAATTTGCAGCCAGCGCAAGGATATCTGTAGATGCACTACTCTCGCAGAATTAAGAATAACAATATTAATAATGACTATTGAAATGATGAGCTAAGCTTGGCATAAGCTTTCAGGGGGAAGAACCAACAATTTGCAAATTGTAACTTCAACGCCTGTAAGCCAGACCCAAGGTGTGAAAAGGTCAAGTTTCTCAACAGACTATGTGGCGAGGCCAAAGCATGCCTCAAGTAAGACTATTTAATTCCACTGCTTCAAATAGGCAAAAATGTGTAAAACGCTACTGTTCTGACCCGTGTAGGCTCATACATATTAAAATCTTTTGTTAGGCAATCCAGTAACCTTCCCTCATGCAGTCAGCCGCCATGTTGTCCACCATTTCGAGACGTCAATGGTACCTGTCAAAGTCAAATGGAACTACCGCCTGAATTTATAAAAAATACATCTGCTTGATTAAAACTTGATGGATAAGCAAACTATCGCGCTCAACCACGGGTTTAAACGTTCAAAATAAAACAATGCTTCCTTTGTAATCGTAAACGTTTCTTTTTACCTCCAATAACAACTGCGGAGTTATACTCTGAAGTAACTCAAAGACTATATATTTGATGCCAAAAACTTGCAGTGGTATTCTCAGTTCTTAACAATTAATGCCACGGACATCTGTCAGGGGAAGTAATGAAACGATTAAACTTTATAGAAAACAAATCAAGTCTCAGGAAGAATATGTTACAAAAAACACAAAGAAAATAAATAGAAAAATACCACGTAAGAACTTACATTAACATAAGTTTAGTAAAAAATGAAGTGCATAAAAGTTGCGAAAAAAATTTACATATTCAGTGAAAGGCAAAGCGTAACTTGGACATCATTTTACAAGCGGAAAAATAAAGAAAAATACAATAAATTTCAAAAAAGCAAACATTATTTAATGTATCTCAAACAATAAAACTGCTAAAAAATCAAACTGTTGTATAAAAACCATACTTTTCTTCGTCGCCCTCAATCTCCCTCATATTGTTATAACCCGCTATCCGACTTAAAAAGACAGATGAATTTAAAGCACACCTGTAGAACACTTTGACAATTTTTCCGTCTTCCTCGGCAAAGTACAACAAAAAAAATTTTTTACACTGAGTAAGTACTGCGCTAGGTTTGATCTAATTTTTAGAGGACGACAAAATGTGGTGATGCAAAAGTAATAAATTCTAAAAAAAACGCAACTAAAGTATTTGAAATAAGAGTTAGTGACTCATATGTTTGGACTTAAGAAACAGTTGAACTACCATTTTTTCCTGTAAACCGAGCACTAACCAAACAACCGCAAGTGAAACAAGAAGTTTGGAGCTGCATCGAAAACAGCTTACAACTCAAACTTGAAGGCAGAACACAGATCACCTTCACCAGCTTCAGCACCACTCGACAATCTCACCGTACACCGGTCAACTGCACACCTCAAGTTCATTCCTGCTTCCAACATTTCTGCTTGCTGAAAATGAATTTATACACTGTTAAGCTCCAAAATCATCTTTACAGTATACTTCCAAATTTTCATAACCGGAAAATATAAAGATAGGTGTAAAGACAAGAATAAAGATGCAGTTCCAGAGTCTTGCTGGACCTTAAGGTTATTAAAGGCATGAAGGGCATCTGTGGAATGAGTGGGAAGTACGTCAATCTCCAATTCTGAAAAAATTTGTTGAGAAATAATGAAAGAACGTGTAGAATTTTTAACTTGGATGAAAGCTATCAATTTTACAATTTTGAGCACAAAAGTCAGCTAATTCTGCAACTACCGAAAAACAATATGTTCTCCGGCAAAACCAACTACCTGGTTTATTCCAAACGTTCTTCGCTGCAATAAACCCTTCTAAAATATAAGGCTTTCCAGCATCTTGCCCACTAAGTATATATCTCCTAAAACAAGGGTTGTTGTTATTAACCCATTTTCAGTCCGTCATTCGACGCAAACAAAACAACTAACTTTGACCGCACACTGATAGCGAATGCTGTAGCTGCATTTTCGTCTACGAGTGCTGGTTCTGAACCGTGATGAGGAACAAACACTACATCAAAGTACAGCGGCTGAGAAAGCTTCGGTTTAGCTACCAGTCCAGTATTTCGTCCAGTACGAAGATTTCGAGTGTTCTTAGCACTGGCTGCAACCGGTGGTAAATACTCCTCTTGCGCGTGCATTTCTTCCAAAGCATGTTGTGCCTGTAAAACAATAAACAATTTTAAAAATACTCCATTATTTGAATTAAAATCTTATCAAGAAACGCTAAATACAGTTACCTGCAATGCATCTGATGCATCACCATTCTGTTTTACCGCAGTCTTGTTTTCAGGTACTTCAGCCCCAGGTGCTGCCTTTTCATAATTATCGTAGTTGTTCGACTCGCTTACTAGAGTTTGAATAACAGAATCCATATCTGGCTAAAATTTTATATAAACAGATGAGAACACTAGGCTGTCAAAAGCCAGGACGTTTATTTTGCTGTAACACTAAATCTTGAAAAATCCAGAAAAATAATTTTAAAAAGATCAGTGAGCTTTAACGAAAACCTTAAATTCAGTCGGATTAGTCTGCTCATTGACTGTGTCGTTTGTAAGATTCATCTGGTCATCTACAGTCGGTGAGCTGCCCTTTATAGCCTAAAAATTACGGTCAAGAAACAAATTATAAATAAATTCTGGAAAATTAATTTAAAATGCCTACTTGTGGAAATTCCTCAACCTTTTCAGGAAAATCGTCGAGCAAATTATTGCTGCTGATTGTCTCAGCTCCCTTTGGAGGACTTTGGGCAGCAGGAATGTCGATTAAAGGCTGAAAGTCTAATTTTTATTTGGTGTTCTTGCACACTTAAATCTGCCTACAGGCCAAGCTAAAACTGCTATTACTTTGAGTAAAAAATTATATTCCAGAAAAAATGAAAACTTTTTTTTAACTTTGCACATAATTTGCCCATCTTAGTTTCTTAGCGACATCGCCTTCTGCATTCATTAGTCACATGTCACATACCGTTCTGTTATCTATATGCTTTGAAAAAAACTAAGTAAAAAACTTTGAGACTTCAAACTTAACTTAAAGTACGGCAGCATTATCACCAGAAAAGGAAAAGATTAGACACTCAGACAAGTATAACAAAGGCAAGCGTTTACTAATTTAAATTTCAAAATACTTAAAGATATTTTTTTGAAAATCGCTTAACAGACCGTCTCTGGTTCTCCAGAATTTTCAGCCATAATCAGATTAGATAATCCAATAGAAGCTCCTAAAACACCTGAATCCGCCACTTCTGAAAAAATAAAAATAAAAAAAGAGTTTAGAAGTGCTCGGCATGAAATGGTCCGTCGCTACCACATTGAAAAATAGTTCTCAATGCCAAAATGCTTTGAAGGTTAGCATTCTTCCTGCAATGGTTGAACAAGGAAGTACTAATGGTAGCAGAATAATGATAAACCAACCAGGCACGCCAGTTCCATTATTGAAATCAGATGTAAGTTTCGCATCATCCAAAGCTTTGCCCTAGAAAATAGATATTTTTAAGATTTACAATAACAAAGAACAATAAAACCAAAAATTAAGAGCTATTTACAGAAGTAAAAGAATTAGATGAACTACATCTTTCTAGAAAACTGTATGATATCCACATTAATGCCAAAGCTTGAAAAACTAACAGACAATTTGTCAGGCATTGGGGTTTCACCGTCAACATCCATTGTAACAAGACGAACTTTGAACTGTTCTTCAATACCATCTAATAAACCAGACTGGTCCGGGGCCTGAGGTCCCGCTGTAAAATCTGCCGGATCTGGTACTGAAGCACTCTTAAATGTAAAGATATGCAAAAAAAAGCTTTGTCCAAGCAAAATTTGTAAATTCTCATTCAAAAATAATAGTAGCAACTTCTAGTTTTTAGAAGACTGAAAGTATTTTTAGTGTTATCCTACGAGGTTACCGTATGAGTTCGTACCTTTGGCTTTTTTGACTCTTCTGCAACCTCAGCGTCTGAAACTGCTGTAGCAGAATCAAGTTCAAATGCTGCACCTTGTTCTGGAACGACATTAGCTGCCACAACTGCTTCCTCCGCTTTGTCCAGTTCAGAAGGTAAAACTGAAACTTCAGTTTTATCGACAGTTAAGTCGGCACCTGCAACCTCTGTTTTATCAACTGTAGAAGCGAAGCCGGTGGTTTCTGTTTCATTAGTAGTAGAAACCGCTATTTGAGCTTCCAGCTCATTGCTAGAAACCGAAAGTGGAGCCGATATTTTGCCAGTGGGTGACACTGGATCAACGAGTTCTGTCGTGTCAGCAGCATGCGCAGAGACCGGGACGTCAGCTTTCGAATCAGGAGCGACAGAAACTAGAACTTCTGGGGTAGGATTACCTGTAGGATTACCCTGAGCTAGTTTTTCATCGCCTGGATGGTGATTATTTGGTTTTGCGGTTTTCTTTTCTCCCGTTTTTAGAGGTGCAGTATGTTTACGTGGAGCAGCTGGAGGTTTGGCACTAGTTTCCTTCTTTAATAAACTCTCCCTTTTAGCAATTCCCAAAACAGGCTGTTTTGCGTTGGCAGTAATGCTTTTGCTTGGCACGCGTCGAGTAGTTGTTGAACGCGAAGTAGGATTAGTTGACATTTGTGTGCTGCAAATCAGATAATTCAGTACGCAATCGACTTCACTACAAATTCTTGCGCTCACAACTGGAAAACCACAAAAGTTTTCGAGCAAATGAAGAACTACACAACTAACTGTGCCGGCTTGTTTGTTACTGTTCCAGTGCGCAGTTGAGAAGGGTGTTCGGTTGCCCTTGATTTGACATCAGGAGTTGTAGGCTTCCGAGTTGGTCTCGTAGCCGGTGCAGCTAAAATACAGTAACTCTTATCTACTACAAATTAACTGCAAACATCACTGCTCAGAATTTGAAAATTATAAGTATGTCAGACCTGTTTTTAGGAGTGCTGTAGGCCTTGGTGACAACCCCGTTGTTGTTCTGTTACCCGTCCGAACTGTTGGGGATGTCTTGGCTTGAAGAAGAGAATGGCGCTGCCCTCCTCTGGCATTCAAACTTAAGTTCGACGAATATTTCTCTTTATCTGCACTAACAAATTCGACATGCCTTAAGCATTCTTCAGTCTTCAGCTTCTCAAGCGACGCATAAAGCACCTCTAAAGGGCAGGCACCTGGAAAAGATAAAAAAAAGTGATGATTGGAGCAGAGGAAATGACACTTGACAGAAATTATTTTCAACACAGTTTGATAATACTCGCATGGAAATCTGGTAGGTGACTTCAATAAAATTCTCTCGGTATCACTCCCATTTTTCCCCTCTCTTCCAGCACTTGACAAACATACCTTTGAAGTACTTTCAAACAGCTCAATGCAGAACATAATAATTGTAGAAAAATCTAAATTCATCTGAAGAGTGAAATTTGCGAATTCATGCGGTGCTATAAGCTCCGCACGTGACACTTCAACTTATAAACCACCCACATTCAACTTAATATCAATAAAGCTTTTTAAATCACTCTTCTAAAAAATTTGGAAAATCGCAGTCATTTTTAGAACTAATTCTCCAGGGAAAAAATACCAGGATATAAAATCCTTATTGTCGGTTTAGAGTGGTCGGAAGGCTGCCAGATCAGTACAACTGCAATACTAGCTGCCGTTGAGAACTTTTCGAAATTATCTCCATTTTTCATAGCATTAACAAGTGAAGTAAAATGCTTCGAATTACGATCTGGGTTCAACACTACCATTTTCAAAGAGCCTTCCCCAAGCACCTAAGTAAGACATATGGTTAAAAAAATTTGACTTTTATACAACTGTAAAATAAAAAAGACAAATTCCAACTTCATAAAGTGTCACGGGTTCCATTTTTGGATTCAAGTAAACATCATGCGGTTTTATACCCTCTGCCTGGAGCCCTTCATGAACGGAAAGTATTGCTTTTGCCCCATCGTTGTTCGTACCACAAGTGTTACGAGGCGGAAGATTACCAATAAAAGCTCCTATCTTCGGGTGACACTACAAAATAGTAAGGTACAAGCAACAGTTAGCAAACTCAAACAGCCAATAGCTCTGATACAATTTAACAATGACCAAGAATGAACTAGTCATACAAGGAAACTCTCAAGCTGCTTTGTCAGTACCAATTGTTCCCTACAGTGCAGAAGGACACAGTTTTACTGTGAACCAACAACACAGCAAAATCTCTTAGCCTGTGAACTGCAAACCGGTCACCAAAATACAAATTTCATCCACAAGTTAATTATTCTATGAGTTAATAGAAGAAATCAACTACTTCCACACCTAAGTAGTTCCCGATAATTGAACTCAAAGGTAACCAAAATTATTTCTATTCAAACCTGAATGAAAAACAGTAGCACTTACGCAAAAGCAAAAGTAAGTTGTGAAACTTTAAAAGTTAGAGCTAATGAAGCTCAGTCATTCTATAAACATCTAATAAATGCAAAGAGACTTCTCCTAAGAAAAGCACTCAACATTGTTGCAATCATGCAAAAAATATTAAAAACTAGCTAATTTAAAATACCAGCTGCCTGCAAAAATTTATATTAAAAAAATCTTTTCATCTCAGCTCCTAATAATTCAAAAACCCTGAACCAGTAAAACAGATAATTTGCCGCAAATGTCTATCCATCAATAATATTTAAAATCACTTCAAAAAAGCATCAAATACCACTTCAATTTTATCTGGCTTTAAGACTTCCGGAATCTTTGTGAACAGCACAAAGAGCTAGGTCAAATCAGGTGACCAGAACAATTTTGGAAAGAAATCTTGGGAATAACTTACTTGCAACTTTATATCATTATGTTTGACAATAAACAGAGCCTGACCTGTTCCACAGCCTTTCTCGCCAAAATGGTTGATATTCCACGAACACATTCTGGACTCGCTCGGGTCGACAGCACCACATTTACTAAAGCAGCAAGAAATAGAACAAAAAAACAAGTTTTGCTTCCACAGTTATTCAGGAATTTGACCACCGTAATGATAAGAAACAAACTGAAAAAAGAAAAAGTAAAAAATTAACACCATTAGGGTTTCTTGCCTCAAAAACAGTTGCGTCAAAAACAAGTAATAAGCGCACTGATCTAAAATCATGTTGTTTTAATATTTAAAAACTATACTTTTATCGTAATTCTTTATGAAGTTCCAATATGGTACTTCCTTTTGATCTCCCCCATCAAGTAGCAAATTGAATCCATATATAGACAAAAATGCAGCGTCCTCATTACCCCCAGTGAAGACATAGATTGTTGGATGTCTTGCTCGTATCGTTCCTACCACATTGCTCGCAGGAAGCAATGATACCAGATCGGCACCTGAATATGCAACTGCCTCGCCATTTATAAAAAGCACTTACCAGTACCTAACTGGCAATCCAAATGTTGCTTTCAAAAACGTAAAATGTTTTTTCTGTAAACAGGACAGTCAAAAAAACTATAACAAACAGTCACCATCAGCAGCCATCGATGAGCTGTTGTTGAGCAAATTCGATTACGCCGTTGCCAAACCTTAAAAAAAATTATATTGATATAAACAGACGAAAAAAAGACCATAACGAAATAACGAATCCAACGTTTTCAATTGTTCAGTTTTTGTTCACCTCATCACTAGAAGCAATATAAGAGGAATAACAAATGTCATAGTACCAGAAATGCTCAAAAACTGTTTGAATTCTGATTTTTTAAGCTCATGATGTTTTCTACTTCCATTACTGCCTAAGTATACTCAATGCCATATATGCAACAGGTGAGCAGTGTGTGATTTGAGTTATTTAAATCACATTTACAAAAAAATGCTACAGATTTTAAAATTAACATATTTAGTCGACCGATCACGCAGTTCCATTTTCACTGCGTTGGAAGTTTAGACAAATTCTGCATATAAAAAATTTAACAAAACGTTTCTCCTTCTGTTACCAAACCAATTTACCAATTCCGGAGTCGTGACTAACAAGCAAAAAATTATTTGAATCAGCCTATGACTTGCACTAAGCAACAATACCATGATATTCAAAGAAAATTTTTTTGAAAGTAAATAAAAGTAATCTTGTAACTACTTCAAGTACTTATCAAGAACCTGGTCATCAAAAAATGGAAACAACCAAAATCTACAGCAAAAAATCATGAAGCAATAATACACAGATGAAATTGCTTTACTGTCAAAAACCGCAAAAAAAATCTTGAAAAATTTAGAAACTTCAAAAAATAATTTATACTTGTTCATTCACTGAAAGGTAACTGTAGAAAATTTCAACCGCTGGCAAATCAGAAAAGAACTGCAAAAACAGTGCCGTGGTCAAGACTAGTAGATCTACTAAACTAAAAACGTCTGTTTTTGAATCTCGACAGGCAGTGCCCATTTAGGCAGTCAAAATAAAAAATTGTTATATACAGATGGGTATAATTTATTACAGATAATGGCTTTTGAATATAAAAGAAATCTAAATGCTGAAATGAGTTTAAATGTTGCCCAGTCAGACGGGAAAACTTTTTTAAATGTCGCACGAAGCCATTATGTTGCCGTGGCTAAGAATTAAGCCAAAGTAAACTTATTTTATTTTCTTGGTCTAATAAATACTTCCATCATTAAAAAAACGCCAACAAATTAACTTTAACGGCTTGCAAAAAAAAACTATCTTTTTTTTAACTTTACTTCAAAAGACACAGATTACATTGATGCTTTGAAAGAGTTGCATTGGAATTAAGCAAAATACGTTGTGATTTCTTAAACAATATAATAATCCAAACAACATGGTTGAACACAACGAAATTTGCTGCTCCTCTCAACTTTCTTGTTCCCAGTAACAGCTTTGGCAGCAGTCTAGTTCGTTCCTAGAACCGACATCAATTTGGTCATATAAGTCATACCTGCAAGACTAATGATGAAATACCCAACTACAATATAGTGAGCTCTGTGCAGTCTAATAAGAACGCGAAAAGAAAAAATGTCACCACCATAAGAAAAACCCTTAAGAACCTAGTCATCAAATTTCGTCAGACATTAACAAACATCGTTAAATCACAGAGTTTCAATCAGATGTCACTATTAAGATACTTCTGTCACTCACACAACCACAATTTATAACACACAGAACAGTCATTCCCAAGATCATAATTTTCTTGCCGGAATTAACTGAAAATTTCCACATGCAGACCAGATCTTTGAATCAAGATTGAGCCAGGCTATTTCATACATCACCTATAGGTCCTTCGCACCAATGAGAACCTCGAAAAGGGTATAAATAAAGAAATAACAAGTATTCATAAAATAAACAATGAAAAAGCCATCAAGGTCAACGGCATTATGCTACATGATAGATCATCAAGGGTATTTAACCTTCCAACATTCAGAAAAAGAAACCAATGAAGGAAAAAAGGAATTGCAAACAGAAACGAACAAAGTAAAGAATGAAGACATTTAGCAAGGCAAAAATCAAACCACACTGCCTCAGCATTAATGCACAAGTAAAAAAGATATAAGGTTCATCTCTGTATCGACAAATGTTCCGGCACAAAGCAATAGCCACCGGAGGTTACTGCTAAACAGGATATAAATTCTCGAATAAACTTAATAATAAACCTCATTAAACTAAATGTTTCACTTCATTTTCCGCCTTTTGAACTTTGTTAAAAACTGTCCAAGGTTAATGTGCAAAAATATGATGCTTTGAAAAGATTCAATAAAAAACCTCAAATCGTGATCAAACTTTTTTTGTTCCTTCAAAGATCAATGTTCCAATTATATTCAAAGAAATTTTTTTCTAAATTTATTACTATATACCACTATTATTTTCATGGCCAGTTACAAATAATTTTCGCTTCAATTCTTCTCTTACACCCCCCCAAAAATTTCACTTTAAATATTATCCAAATCTAAGAGCATAAACAACATTATCTGTTGGCTACAAAAAATGAGTTCATCAACAAAATCATTATCGAATAATTGGTATAGCGAAGTCAAATTACGACACGAAAACTACATTAAATTAGAGGATTAATCAGAATAAATAAACACTATTTAGTCAGATACATAATGGTATGTAGAAAACCTACAAAACACCTGTCAAAAAAGTTCAAGAAAAGAAAACAAATTTTCTTTTGATGACACTGTTAAAGCTTACGACTGATAGAGTATAATTTTTTGTTTCATCATGCCCTTATTTCAACAGATACACTGAAATTAAAACCTTGATTTGTTTGGGCAATAAATGACAAAACAAAGACAAAACTGTTCTTCTTCCACTTATTCCCCGCTTATGGCCTACAACTAGTCAGTAAAAATCATCTGCACACCAAATGTCCAGTACAATTAACAATAAATAACCAAGAAACTATGAATAAAAAACAGCCGGAAATACTGCAGGTCCTCCTAACTGCATATGGCAACGATCCCAAGCTGATAGCAAATTAAAAGAAATTAACCTCAAATACAATAACTTCGCCCGTGTATCTTGGCGCTTTACGCACAAATAACTTCTGCGACGTAGCATAAATCAAGAAGTAGCCAGGACTTCTGCAGGATACCGGCACTACCACACTTGAAAAAAAATAAGCCAAAACTGTATAGGTATAAGAATGAGTGTATATATTTAGCAAAAATAAAAAACACTTTTTTACTGTTATGCAACGACTGTAAAAAAAATTATTCAATTCTCTGCTACACTTTGACAAATTAGCAACCACAGAAGATAAAAGACTGTTCAACAGTCAGAACCATCTGTACAAACTGATCCCATCCGTCGTATAACGCATTATCTGAAAGATGTAGTAGCAGTCAAAAACAACACTGCCGCTTTAACGTTGGCCAATAAACTCAACCGAAACCTTCACTCTTGTTGCAAACAACTAGTGATAGAAACGCGCACATACTGACATACAGATACATAGAAATACAAAAAAGAAAAAGTATAAACGAACAAGCACAGAGCCAGATAAAATTCTGCTAATCAGAACCCTAAATCAGCGAAAATTTTTTCGTCGACATATCTTCTCTTAACTTTTTAACAACAATTCCGACTTGGAAAGATACGGTAGACCGCCGAAATACAGTTATCGCATTCAATGTTGCTTCAGTCTCAAAAACACTTTAATATCTCGCTTACTGACACAATAAGACTGGCCTTTCCATAGGCGACTGAATAAAATAGAACGACAGTTTTTTGTGGATGAGGAAAAGCCTTTCCCAAACAACAAAAAACTCTTCCCTCCCTCCTTATCCTAGGAGTGTAGTTGCTTTAGTTCCTTTCGCAAACTGATTCAATTTTTAATTGTTTTTCTCCCCCTAACCCTTCATTTCGTTATCCCTCATCAGTTTTTCTGTGCTACGGTTCAAGAATTGCATATTTGATGTGAAACCAATTATGCCGCACAAACAAAGATTAGAAGAAACTGCAAAGCTCACAACAAATTCCAAATTTTTTAAAAGTGATTTTTTCTAATGGTAAACAGCAGTGAATGTCACGAAGAATAGAAAAAAACACAGAAGAAATGAAACAAGAATGGGGCAGCAGTGGAAAACTAAAGGAAAAGAAGCTAAACAAAAACAGAAGAAAGCTTTTGCCTCGAAGATTACTGCGGAATTAAAATTGTGAAGAAATAGTGAACCAAAGTCGCCAGGCTTTCTAGTAATAGTTTTGATAAAAAAACTAAAATGATAGTAAAAAAGTGTTTTAGAAGAGAAAAAAAAGAAGAAATAAATCCTTTTTCAAATTAGAGATTTCTATTAAATTACAATGAAAATCAAAGTAGTTTTATACAATCGTATAAGATGAAAAACCACCCACTCCTTCCTCTCCTTCCCTTCTCACTTAATTATTTATTCCATTTTACCTATTTCTTCCTGAAACCAAATGAAGCTCCTCCGTGGTAATTGCCACAAAACCATATAACTTAATAGTGCAGTCTAAAATGACTGCAGCACTGCAAACATAAAGAGATGTCTTCAAGGTTGTCAACCGTTAGACGAGACAACATGTGCCCCACTTGGTATGCCTGCACTTAGCATAACATTTAACTCTCCGGAAATCCCAATCATTCCAGTCAAATTCTTATCAGTGTCGATTGGAGGCTTTGCAACTATAGATGAAACTAATTTCAGTAACAACAAAAAGAAGAAATTTAAAAAAGCTTCTAGTAACTAGTCATTATTAGCCTAAATGTAGCCATTCTTCAATGGTTGTTTGCTGCAAGTTTATGGTTGTTAAACATGTTACAGCAGTACCAGTAAGAGAGACAATAACAACAGCAAAAGAAAAAGCAACTAAAAACAAGGAGCTTGTCATCTTCAAAAGAAATAAATATGAAAAACAAAAAGAATATAAATAAACGCTAAGCAAACAAATAGAAAAGTCCAAAAGAGTGATGGAGGGTTCACTTTTATCGAGTTCTACAGACATTATGTTAAAATATTCTTTAAAAACTGCTAACACAATGAACAACTTTAGATCCTATTGCTTTCAAAATACG